TTTGTCACTGTGAGCTGCCGGTGGAGCCTCGCCTGCCCCCGCAGCTTGGCGTCCCTCTCCTAGGCTGAGAAGGGACGGGCCTGCGTGCTTGCTTTCGTGCGGGCGTGGTGACAGTCAGGCCATGGCCGAGAGTGCCCTGGGCATGGAGTGGGCGCACAGTCCGCTGCTCCCCGGAGGAGCTGATTTGTAAAAGGAGGCGCCGTTTCCTCCCAGAGACCAGCATGGCTGGGCTCATGGAACCCTCCAGCGGTGAGGGGAAGCTGGAAACCCAAGAGGCCTGGGTCGGGCCTCTGTCTGGGGGCCACACGGGGACGGAGGCAGTCGAGCTGGGGGAGGCTGGGCGATCTCGGGCAGGCCGCCTGCGCCCTCCGGCCTGAATGGGAAGTGGGGGTTGGAAGGACGGTCTCCTCGGAGGCAGGGGCGAGGCTGCAAGCTGCCTTCCTGAGGCCCCTGTTGCACAACACTGCACCCCTCGGCCACACTGCCACCACCAGCAGCCTGTTCTGTCACTTCCCAGCCGGGGCTGGGCCAAGCCGCCTCTGGCTCCCCCACCTGTCTGCTGCCCGCCCTGCGTGAGACGCCATCCTGCAACACCCTCTACTCCCAGGCCTCAGGGCAGGGCCTCCCCGGGCCCAGCTGGGTGAACCAGCCCCTGCCCTGCCACCTGGCAGCCCCTTTGTCGGGTCCCAGAGAAGACGGGGTGTCTCTGTGAAAACAGAGACAGAGCAGGTCTGACAGGGGTGAGGCCGGGGGTGCAGGTACGACTGAGACAGCCAGTCCCTGGCGCAAGGGCTGTGGCACAAAGGCACCAACATGGGGCCTGAACTCCAGACCCACCACTTGACACGGCATGAGCTGGGGGTGGCCACTCGCCCTCCCCGACGCACAGTTTCTCTGGTTCTGCTCTCATGTCTGCCCTGGGCCCTGGCGGGCAGAATCGGCTTTGTCCCTGTTTGGATCCTTGAGACTGGCTCCTTCCAGAGCACCCGGCCCCTCGGCCCCAGAGCCGTGTGGCGGCTTAGAGAGTCCCCACCACGCGCCTCAGTCCAGGTGACCAGGCCCAGGCAGACGGCACAGCAGAAGCTCAGCATCTGCCGAGGGGACAAACGGCACAGCACTGGAGCTGGACGCTGCCCGTGTCTTGGGCACACCCTCCTCTGCGTGCTCTGCCCACCGAAGGCCAGCTCTGTCGCCTCCTTGTCCGAGTCCTGTCCTCCCAGGACGTGCAGGGCATCGGCCCCGGCCCACCTCTCAGGCCACACCATCCACACCCTCCTTCGGACACTGCCTGTGTCCCCTGCCCGGGCCGCCTCCACCCCTCCCAGAGCGCCCACCCCGGCCTCGGGCGGGCCTAGCTCAGCTCCCTGTCACCCGAAGGCCCTGTTCTAGCCCTGCAGGAGGCCAGTGCGGCCTGTCCCCGTCCAGCTCTGCCCTTTAGACTGCTGTCCTCTCCACCAGCAGACCCCCTGGCCTGGCCCAGCGGGCTCCCGGGCAGCGCGAGACCATGTGGCCTGGAGCTGGGCCAGACAGGCCACACTGAAGTGGGTGCTTCTAAAGTTCTCTCGGGCTGCTCTCTGGGACCCTGGAGCGGTCAGCACTGTGGCCTGGGCATTCGAAGAAGAGGGGACTTCCTACCAAGGATTTGGGTCCCCTTGGAATCCAGGCTATCGCTGGGGGCCGGGCCTTGAAGGAGGGTTGTACTGGACCCAAGGAGCTGAGCCCCAGTGGGGCAGACTCTTTCCAGAGACCTGTGGCCCCTGGGCCGGGGAGGAGCCAGGCGGCATCTGAGCTCCCTGGCCAGCCCCGTCACCTCGCATCCTCAGGTGTGGGCTGCCCGTCAGCTTCATGCCAATTCCCCACCCACGGCTGCATCCAACTCTGGGGCAGTCTCCCCGGCTGTCCCCGAGGTTGATCTCGTCCTCAGTCTGACATTGTTCCTGTCCCACCCCTTCCCTTGCCCTAGGCGCAGGCTCAAGGGCATCTCCCAAGGGAGTCTGCTCCTGCTGGAGCCTGCCAGCCCCGCCTGCCCATCGAGGAAAGGGCACTGCGGTCTCTCCTGACCTTGCACAGACCCGGCTGCACACGGAAGGCCTGGGCGTGCCCTGAGCCGCTGGGCGCGGCCTCCAGGGCAGCAGGAGTGAGGTCCTCGCCATCCTGAGCCTGCTCACGCCCTCCCTGCCTCTCTCTGGGTCATGTCCAAGGGATGAGATAAGGTAATAATTCCTACGACAATGATAGTGTTGTTAACAGTAAGTGTTTTTGAACAACTTCTGTGTGCCAGGTTCTCTACTGGGTGCTGGGGAAACATAAACAAACGAGACAGGCACAGCCCCTGTCCTCACGGATGCCTCAACCCCAGCTCCCGGCAGGAGTTGGCAGACGGAGAGCACCTAATACATATTTGCCGAATAAATGAAGAATGCATGACACGAGCAGTCCGCTCATACCCAGCAGCACAGCTGCCCGGAGGGGTGCACGGCAAATGTGAAGGCCACGAGGGCAGGGGTGAGGCATGATCAGGCCACCCCCCATCCCCACCCTGGAGAGGAATCCCAGACCATGTAGTGGCCCTGTGACTTGGTGCCCCAGCAAAACAGGGTCTCAGCAACACAGCGATCCCCAGGCCAGCAAAGGGGGAAAGGCAATTCTGAGGGCTGCCTGGAAGAAGTCTGGGGGAAGAGCTGGAGAAGCCACAGGGTCTGCAGCTTGTCTGACCTGCTGTGCAGAACCCGGGGTACCTCAGCAGTGAGTCCAGACTGTGGCCCCAGTAAGGGCTACCCCCAGCCTCCAGGAGCACCGCGGGGCCCAGGCCGCTCTCCTGCGGGAGGGCGCCGTCAGAGGGGGCTGCTGATGTTCTCTCGAGTCAGGGATGCCACCAAGGGCCCATGTGGGATGACTGGCACGGACCCGGACACCCCGCACCACTGCAAGCAGTCCAGACGCTCCACAATGAAACGGGAAAGTTTTTGTGCCAGATTCTAGAAGATTCCCCCAGATTCCCCGCCCCCATCTCTAACCCTGTGAGAGAAGCCTTTGGAAGCGGATCACACTGCCCAGAGACTGAGGGGCCGGGAAGGTCACACTCAGGAGGACCACGTCCAGAGCGGAGTGACCCCCCCCCCCCAGACAGAAGCACACAGGGAACGAGGGGGTGTCAGGGTGGAAGCGGGGAGGACAGCCGGTCTCTGCGCATGTGTGGACTGCGAGAAACAAGCAACGTCGGGGAGGGGTTTCAGGACTCCACCATGGGGTGCACTGGGCAGAAGCTTCCAGAGACCTGAGGACCCCGTGTCCCCAGCAGAGCTCTGCACTGTGGATGCTCACTGTGACTCCGGGGTCCAGACCACCAGCCATGCTGCACACCCAGCCCTCCGCGTAGCCAGTAAGATAGCTGCCCCACTATCTACCCCGTTTAGGGGGGTCTAAGTCCTGGGGAGCTCCTGTGCTACAGACCCCAGAGAGGCCATCCAGAGACCAACTCTCCCGCTGGCGCTTCCGCCTCTGCGCACGTGGGGCCAGGTCTACACGGGGCTGAGCAGAAACCTCCTCCACCGGGAAGCATTGAGAGCCCAACAGCTGGTGCTCTGTGGACCCAGACGTGCCCCCAAACCCACCACGGCCACGCGCACACGCGTGTGGGTTCTCTCCCCGCTGAACAGAGCAGCGCCCCGCCTCCCGGAGAGGCGCCGCATTCTGCCCTGCAGGGCCCCTCCCCTCCGCCCGGGTTTGCGCCTCTGGCGCTCCTCCTGGGGTACTGCAGACCGGCGGACGTATCTCGCCCCTCAGCCCGCGAGAACGCGGAGCAGACCCCCCATCAGAGCTTAGCTAAGACGGTACCGGGTTGTTAGCGTTGGCGGGAGCGGCAAACCGTGTCTCCCGGACGCCGCAGACAGAAGCGCCCGAGGGCGACAGGTGGGGCCTGGCCACGCTGCTCCCTGCAGAGGCTGTTCGAGGACAACCCTGGAGAACAATGGCTGGGAGTGGACAGAAGACCTCGGGGAGAAGCGCCCCAAACAAAGGGCTGCACGTATTTCCACTCCCTCCCGCCACACGGCCGCGCCCGCGCCACACTCGCTGCTCCTCTCCTGGGGACACAAAGCTCTTGCGGGGGGGGGAGGCTGGGAGGGGCTGGCGGCAGAGGGGTGAGTGTCCTGGGGAAGCAGGAACACCTAGAAAGACACGGCATGCTGCTTCCGGACGCAAGTCGGGGTCACCTCCTCCAGACAGCCTTCCTGGCCTCCCCAAACTAGTCTGGGGACCTTTCTGTTTCCACCCCCGTACTTGGCGCTGCCTGCTGCCGTCCTGGGTCTGTGTCCCTGGCTCAGGCCCGGTTCCGAGACCAGGGCTCTCTGTTCGCAGGGCTCCTGGCAGCGAGGGATGACGCCGGGAGGGGGCACCCGAGCCGGGCGCGCCCCGCCCTCACCCCGCCCGCACGAGACACCAGGGCGCCTGTGCTCGAGCTCCCGCCGCGGGTCTGGGTCCGCGTCCCGCAGACCCAAGGCCGGAGCGGGATCCGGGACATTCGGACCGTCCCAAGCCGGGGGTTTCTGAGAACTGGGGGGGTGGGTTGCGGGGCTGCGGGGAAGGTCCTCGGAGCCCCCCGAAGTGGGAGGGTCGGGCCGCCGCGGGGCCAATCCCG